GCCATCCTGGGAGCCCAGGATCGCCCGCCGTATCGCCGCGACGCCAGCTCCGCCCTCCAAGGCATATATTATTAATGTTGGGTGTGTTTGCCTGCCTGCGCTGGAACATTGAATAGGACAGATGAAAAAACGAGAGAGATGTGTCTCAACTGCCCAAGATCCACATGTTAATGGTTGATACGAAACTTCATTATTAGTACTGCTCATTAATAAATTCATAATGAATTCCAGGTGTTTAACAAAGGAGACAGTACTGAACTTTCGTGAGTAGATGTGTACTCCATCTCTAAAATTCCAAGCTGTTCCTTAAAGCTTCTATTCCCAGAATTGTTGGATTGTAGGGATTCTCTGAGCTTGGTTTTTCATTTGCAAACATTTCAAGACCTGCCTAAGTAACATCTTCAGCACAGTGATCTTGGAGAAGTGAGGTATGTTGTTGAAGAAATTTTTAACAAAGTAAAAACCATAACAGAAAATAAAGATAATAAAGAAAAATAGTAAGTAGTGAAAAAATAGAAAGAGACAGAGAAAGGAAGAGAAAAAGAAAGATTTTAAAGAAGCAGCTTCCAATCTTTTTGACAGCAGTTATAGATAACATTTATATTTTGCCATCTCTCTCTCTAAAATTACATCATAATTTCCTTCTTTCCATAAGCTACCCTTTCTAATCTTCGAACCAATAAATCACAAGCTCATTCTTCTCTTTTTTCAGCAAAAAGTCCATGAGGGGTTTCCAGTCATTAATAAATATAACTGTTTGTTGTTATAACTTTATTGAATTTTTTAAAAGAACAATAAAAACTAACCAAAACTAACATTAAGAAAGAAAATTTTAAAAAATGGAAAAAGAGAAAATAATAGAAAGCAAAAGTACAGAAAAGGAAAAGAAAAAAAAAATTGATTTCCGACCCATCCCACAACAGATCTTACTAACAATATACATCAAACTTTTGCTCTACATTTACTGCATAATTTCCATTATTCCCATTAACCCATATTATTTCTAATCATCAAACACATACAACATAATTTCATTTTTCACTTTTTGGTGAGGTCAAATCTTGACCTTCTTCAGGTATTAATGCTATATTAGCCTCTATCCAACTGTCTGGTACCTTCCCAGTCTGTAAAGTAGAGTTCATCGTGTGTTTCAATGGTTGTAGTAGTTCATCTTCAGAATGTTTGTAAGTGGTCCAGGCGCTTTCCCTATTTTAACCTCTTACAGCTTTACAAATTTCCCTGATTGTTATACGTCCATTCATTAATTGTTTCTGTTTTTCTGTGATCTTCGGTAAATTTTGCTTCTTTAAGTATTCATCAACCTTTGCCACGGAAATTTCTTCTCCTTTATATAATTTAGAGTAATATTATTTTTTGCATCTTTAAATTATCAGTTGTTATGGTATTTCTATCTTGTAGTTTTAATATCATTTTTTTTCTCTTTTTCTTTCCTCAGTTTATATGCCAACCATTTCTCTGGCTTATTTGCAAATTCAAAATTCTTTTGCAAATTATTTGCAAATTCAAAATTCTTTTGTTTTGCATTATTCATTTTTACCTCCATTTCTCTTACTGTTAACAAAGACAACTGCTCTTGTTTCTTCCTTCAAATGACATATGCATCTATGATCCACTTTCAAGTTAATATACACATTATTTCTTCCCTTTTTGGTTTATCTTTCCACTGTTCTACTTATCATTTTTGTCATTTTTCCCTATTTTATTACTGATGTGTGTCTGTTTCATTAGAAAGAAAAACAACCATAAAATTTCAAGTAAGGATATGCTGCACATCAGTTGTGAAACTTTTTGCCCTTGGATCTGCAGCGCAACTGTAACATAAAGCCTATCACCATTACATGGTTTTGTCAGGTTATAGTCTCAAGGATAATGGCTCCCCATTCTGTTTAATATTTCAGTCAACCATTACTCATCTAGAAGGTTACATTCAACACCCACAATAAGGGGCTGAATACTGGCCTAGAGCTTTTAAAGGCAGATATGGTAAGAATGATAAAAACTCAGGAATTAATGATCAAGTCTGACATACCTGACTTATTTAAAAGAATTCCTGTTGTATAGAGGAAATGGTCCACTTTCAAAAACTGTTGTGGCACTGTAAGATACGCTGTTACATTAGTGATATGGTGGTTCACAGGAAGTTTAATTAAGTATTTTGGAAACTGAACACTTGGTTGAGATTTGGCATCTGAAAAATAGATAGAATTTTGAAACAGAAATTTAGCAATGCTTTGCTTAAATAATTAATCTTATCAGCAAATAAGAAACACTTTTTTTTTTTTACTCTTTCCAAGCAGTTACATATACTCGCAAATATTCTAGAAATATCCTACATGAGGGCTAACATTAGAAAAGATGGTATTATAAAAGACAAGAGATGATGCATGCAGGATCTGAGCCTTTCATCAAAATGACGAGAGCAGTGTTACACTATAGCAATCTCCACCCCTTTTGTACATACTGTATGTGTGGCATCATGATGCATGTGCAAATGGGCAAAGACTGTGTCATAATGCCCCAATACTGCTTTTGTCATTTGTCCTCTTTGAACTTCCCTGCAGATCTGTCTGGCCATACAGTATTTTGTTGCTTTTGCTGTTACAAACCAATATAGCTATTCCTCTGAAAATTAAAAAAAAATTAAATTAAATTAAAATAATAATAATAAAAATTACTTTTATAATAAAGTTATTTTTGCATATAATATTACTGACATCCATATATTACTGACATCTAAGGACAGAGCAAATTTTTGGTCTTGAGGGACTCAGGCTCACATCCCAACTCAGAAACAAATACACAGAATAATCTTGTCTCTTGGGCTCCCCACATAAGCAAAATGAAAACCATAGTACAGGGCTACTACAAACAATGGAAACTCCAAACTTTATCTGTACGCTAAATTTCCAAATTTTGTTCATAGAGTATTGCCATATATACCATTACAGGTAGTCCTCACTTATCAACAACAATTGGGACTAGCGACTCTGTCGCTAAGTGACACAATCATAAAGTGAAAAATCACATGACCACACACAACTTACAACAGCAGTTCAGCAGTTCCAGCTGTGGTTGCTAAGCAAATCACCCACAGTTGTTAAGGGCAATGTCACATGACCACAACTTGTGACTTCCTGCCAGCTTCCCCGTTGAGTTTGATTGTCAGAAGTCAGCTGTGAAGGTTGCAAATGGTGATCATGTGACTGCAGGACACTGCAACCATCGTAAGTGCATACTGGTTGCCAAGCACTTGAATCATGATCACATAACTGTGGGGATGCTGTGATGGCCACAACTATAAGGACTGGTTGTAAGTCTCCTTATTCAGCACCATTGTAACTTTGAATGGTTGCTGAATGTATGGTTAATAAGTGAGGATTACCTGTATAAACTGTAACATGGATATAATTATCCTTTTAGTCCTGCATTTGATTCAACCCCTTAGGTAGCTCAGATCAATTACAGTTTAAATTCATTACCTTCTTGTATCTTTCTTATTACTATTTAATTTTACACATCTTGACCCACACAAAAAAACTAATTCTATTTCTTACTGATGTAGAACATCAAATCTCCCCAGCGTTTAATCAAAAAGACAGATTTGCAGTATTAGTCAGGACAGAAATGTTTACTCTTCCAAAGCAGTAAAATAGTAATATGCATTTAAGTGCTGTATTCAGAGGGCATATTATCTGAGTTAGAGAGAGACGATACAAGTGCAGGATCTTGTTTCTCTCCATATCTAATGCCCATTTTCTTTTCTCTTGGGATATGGGATAAATAATAAGAACATTATTTTAAAAAATACACTGTAGAAAAAAAGAGAAGGTAGCACCAGTTAAGTCACCTGTATTTAACAAACAAGACACAAACAAGGGAACGTCAGTTGGATTTTCAGATGTTGTAAAAACAACAACACTAGCCTTATGTACTTTTTTCTCAGTGTTCGTTTTATTTTGTATCTTGCATTTTAGACAGCAAACCTGGAGGTGCTGGATTATTTTGATTTATATGCAGCGCCTCATTAACATTCCCTCATTAAATACAGGGAATGGGAAAGGAGAGGTGTTGCTAAAAATGTGTGAAGAAGGCTTTCAGTCAGCTTTTCCTTCTCTTGTGACATGTGGCATAGAGAGATCCTTCAAGAAGACAGCTCCCACCTTCAACACAAATAGATGGAACTGAGTGGCAAAACAGGACAGTAAACATCACCAGTTCTATAAGCCACTCATTGTGGGTTACCCCTGAAATGAAACAATACTATCCTTTTCTAGTGCTGAAGAGTTCCTATTCCAGAATTACATTAAATTGGGTATGATGTTGTGGTAAAGAGTGTTGGATTAGGGCTGGGGACTCTCAGGTTCCAGTCATCACTTAGCCAATTTTGTGAGTCTGTATTAGTCACTACCTCTCAGCTTTACCTCCATTACCGAGGTGTTATAAGGATAAACACTAAGGCCAGGAAAGAAGACCTGCATGTTCTGTCCAGCCAATGAATTCACTAACAGGAATTATTAAAATACTATAATACCTCTAACTCTTTGCACCTACTGCTTCCAGTCCATAATTAAAAACGCAAGCTGAAAACTGCACTCACTTCAGCACATGCTATATCTTAAGAGACAATGGTTTGCAAACCTGGGAATGTTCTGTTCTTACTTACCAGATAGTTTCCCAGTAATTAAAACTGTATCATCAAATAGCCATATATTTGCCTGGCTTTGGGGGAACAATGAAAGTGTAACAGATGAATATACTGTGGGAGATAAAATAATAAGAATATATTATTACATAAGTATATATTATAACACTATTGCCCTGGAAAGTAGTAAAACCTAGATGGAAAAAGCTATATCATCTGAAAAACAAAATGACTATATTGACTTTGAAAATGAAAGCTCAATTTCACGGACACCCGTTTAGCAGACTTTGGATTGAAGGGATCACCCTTCATTTTGGACAACACCTCCAAATAATGGATGTCTGTTGGTTGGTGCAGTCAAGAGTCAGGCAGAGGTTACTTCCCAGAGCACTGTTAAATCAAGTTTTTTCCATAATGAAGTTTTCACAGAACAATCATCATGTGAGCAAAGACCTAAATCTCTCTACAATTTTTTTATATTATTTCTATAAAGTACTCATAATCTTGACACATTTTATTTTAAAAATTATGGCAAATATAAAGATTTTTGTATAAAATATATTTGATTGTGTAGAAGATTGTATGCATGGCATTAACTACCAAAATGGAGAAAAAAAATATGGAAGTAACCTTACCTAAACCTTAGGAGTGTAGAAATACTAGTAGAAAATTGATTTTTATAGAGATTAGGATGGGATTTTTTTTCTTTTTTCTTAGCTTGGGGAGCAGGAAATAGAAGCTTAATGCCATTTTGAGCATAATTATTTATAATTTTGCTAGGCACCCTCTTTACCTTTTGGGGTAAAGGGTATATTCAGTTTTTCTTATTCAAATATGTATGTATATATGTATGTATGTATGTGTGTGTGTGTGTATATATGTATGTGTATAAAAAGAAAAGGAGCTACCAATACATATATTCCCAACAAACATACGTAACAAGAATTGTAATTTTCCATTTCATCTGGAAAATGTGTTAGTTCTTTAAAAATCTAATAAGAGTATATTCAGTGTAGAACTTTAATATTTAAAACAGTTTGACTGGATTGTTTGGTAATTATTCTATATCTGTTTCAAGACTGGGTAATGTACCTTTTCAGTTTAAATTGGGCGTAACCAATTTTAGATCTTATATGAGTAAATCTATAAGGAATACTTATGGTAATATTAGAAGTGTATGGGGGGGCATGAATATTACCCCTTTACCCTTTTATGCATGCATATCATCCCATGTTGTTAGTTGAGAAGACAAATGATTTTCAACCAAGTTTAGACCACATGATGCAACAAGGAATATAGGTCTGAAACTTAATGAAGATAGCTGACTTTGGCAGGAAAAGTGCAGCAAATGAATGCAAATTATACATAAATGGCAAAAAAAAAAAAAAAAAAAAAGCCAGAGCAAATAGATGAAATGTGTACCGCATTAGAACATTTAGTAAAGATGGAAAAATGGATGGACAAAATTTAAGCTGTGCAAAGGCTAGTAGAAAGATAGTGGGTCATATGTGGTCCGTTGTGAGGAATGAATGTTTACTAAAGAAGCAAAATGTCTGTGCATAAGAACATGCTTCTACTCATTTTATTATATGGAAATGAGGATTTGTTATGTCAGGAGAAACAAAGGTAAATTTAATGCAGTGAGAATGGATTGTGTAAGCAGCATGTGTGTTAAAAATAGAAGACTGGGTGAAGACTGAATGGGTCATGAATGCAGAAATAAATGGCTAGTATGAAAGAAATGCATTAAGTGGTTTGCTCAATGAAAATGAGGACTGAATCAGAGAACAAATATAAAAAAGGAGGGTGAATAGAAAGGAAGAGGAATATGGAGAAGGTAAAGGCTGGATGGAACTGATGAGAATCTGAAAAGCAAAGGCCACTGAGATGTTTAAAGAACAACTAGATAAATTACCTAATGGAAAGAAGAAAGTTACCAGCATTCAATTTAAAGAGAATATTTTAAAATGGGCTTGTTTATTTGCTTACTTACTTGGCATTCTCCCAGTTTTCCAAGGTAAAGGTGTTAACATATAACCATCTTTATAAGAAGCAATAGTTAAACTGAGACCTAGTTGATAGGGAACTTGTATCAATACCGCTCCATTCTTTCCAGTTAGAGTAGAATTTGTTTTAGTGTAGTTGACAAAGACTTCTACAACAGCTTGGTGTAGATACTGATGGCTGATTATATCATTAACTTGCACTTTCAGTGTAAACATAGGTCCTAAAAGAGGAGAGAGAAAGAGAGAAAGAGAGAAAGAGAGAGAGATAGTTATTTATAATTTTGCTAGGCACCCTTCTTTACTTTTTGGGGTAAAGGGTATATTCAGTTTTTCTTATTCAAATATGTATGTATGTATGTGGAGAGAGAGAGAGAGAGAGAGAGAGAGAGAGAGAGAGAGAGAGAGAGAGAGAGAGAGAGAGAGAGAGAGAGAGAGAGAGAGAGAGAGAGAGAGAGAGAGAGAGAGA